TTGCCCAGGCTGGAATACAACGGCATGATCTCGGCTCACTACAACCTCCGCCTCCCGGGTTCAGGTGATTCTTGTGCCTCAGCCTCGTGAGTAGCTGGGATTACAGGCACCCGCCACCACACCCAGATAATTTTTTTTTATTTTTACTGGAGACGGGGTTTCACCATATTGGCCAGGCTGGTCGCAAACTCCTGACCTCACGTGATCTTCCCACCTTGACCTCCTAAAGTGCTGAGATTACAAACCTGAGCCACTCATTTCACTTCGAAACCCAGCCACCTCCCTCCCGCAGGCTGGAGTGCTATCTTTCTGTTATTCATTGTTTTATTCAATCACCGATTATGCATCAGACACTCTGTGTGCCAGGCATTGCTCGGGGCTGGGGATTATGTCAGGATAAGACAGTCTTCTCTTGTGGAAGTTACATTCCAGCAGGGGAAGACAGACAATAAACAAATAAATGACTAAATATTTCATAGGGCTGTAAAGAGTAAGGGCCCAAAACAATCAAGTAGGGGGTGGGGCCAGAGAGGGAAGAGGCCATTGTAGCTGCAGCGATCAGGAAGGGATGGGCTTTCTGAGGAGGGAGGTCTGAGCTTGAGTTAAGGAGAGAAGAGGCCACCTGGCCATGGGGAGAAGAGTGTGGGGTAGGAGCTAGAGACAGGCGGGAGCGCAGACCCCATCACCCAGGGTGGTGTTTCTCAACCTGCAGTTATCATTACCCCGCCATGAAATTTTAATTCCAGAGGTACCCTGGGTGTCTACTGCTATTCTTAGTCTATATACACAGTAAAAAGAGTAAGATGCTTTGTCCTGCAAGAATAAATCCTTGGGGGCAGCATTGTCCCTGTTAGGGATGCATGATATAGGGCCCTATGGTCAATTTAAGGAATTGGGGCTGGGTGTGGTGGCTCATGCCTGTAATCCCAGCACTTTGGGAGGTCGAGGCAGGTGGACTGCCTGAGGTCAGGAGGTTGAGACCAGCCTGGCCAACACGGTGAAACCCTGTCTCTACTAAAAATACAAAAATTAGCTGGGCATGGTGGAGGATGCCTGTAATCCCAGCTACTCAGGAGGCTGAGGCAGGAGAATTGCTTGAACCCGGGGGGCGGAGGTTGCAGTGAGACGAGATCACACCACTGCACTCCAGCCTGGGAGACAGAGCGAGACTCGGGTGACAAAAAGAAAAAGAAAAGGAATTGGTGTATTCCAGTGCCTATTTGGTCTAAAAGTAGTTCAAGACAGCTCCCTCTACTGACTGCCCTTACCAGGCCTCCACTTGGGTGTCTCATAGAGGTCTCAAGCTTAGAGTGTCTGGAGCTGAGCTTTAGGCAGAAGCTGTGTGCACTTAAGCTCTTCCTAAGCCTGCTCCTCATCCTCAGCCTGCTGTTCTGCAGCCACAGCAGCTTCTCACTCAGGCCAAGGAAACTTGGCTCCATTCTTGGCTCTCCTTTCTCTCAAACACTTTTAGCCCCGTTCTCTGCTGCCATGCTGGCCAGGTGCCCATCTTCACTCACCTGGTCCCCTGTAGCAGCCTCCCTCCTGGCATCCTCACTTGGGCGCTTGTGCCCTGGAGCCTGCAGGACAGTAGGTGCCCCCTGAATGAGGAAGAGAAAGAGGAGGTGGGAGAGTGTGCTGTGGGTTGTCCCCATGGGCTCTGGGAACCAGGGGGAGGAAGAGGAACCGTACCTTCTACCAAGGCTCCTGCCCCGGCCAGCATCGTCAGTGGGGATACGGATGACACGCATGTAGGGGGCGCGGACACCAACTCCTGGTGGGGCCTCCTCATCCGTCCACTCCTGCCCCGCCTGCCTGATTTCTTTTTAAGAAAGTGAAATCTTAGGTGGACACCCGGCCTCATGACCCCCTCATCCTCCAGGTGTGGTGTCCTTCCTCACCAGAAAGGGAGCCTGGGCTCTGTTCTCGAAGCCACTCCTGTTGCTGGGGGCCTGCTGGGTCCCTGTCCAGGGCTGCAGAGACCACTGACACATGGAATTGGGGAGAGGCAGCCCGAGCACAGCCCTGCTTCTGCTCCACGTTGGGTTCATCCTTCAGCCCGCAGCTCGAGCCCGGCTTCCTCGGGGCCGTGCTTGGCCTCCCTGGTCTCCCACCCTCCCCTCAAGGCCTCTGGGATGTTCTCGAGAGTTCACCCCCGGCGTAATCAGATGCTCCTGCAAGTCCTTGGCTGCCGTCTGCCTCACTCAACAGGCTGCAAGCCTCACATGGACAGGCCTCCAGCTGTGTTGCCCAGCCTGGCGGCTGCCAGACAAAAAAACTTTGTAAACAATGTGGGAAAGCTTTGTAAATAGCATGGCACCCAGGTGGTGGAGGCCAAAGGAATAAACTTTGAACCTGGTCTGGGGCAGCCTCAGCAAAGGAGCAGGGAGGTTGTGATGGAAGGACACACTCCTCCGTCCTGGTGATGACTCGGGGCTTGTGGACAGGTGGTAGGAAAATGCCTCAGAACTGTGATGAGCACAGCCAGGCTGCTCCTGGGAGCCATTCTTTAGGCCTCTTATCTTGGTGGCCTTGGGAGAGGGAGATGCCAGGCTTGCTCATGGCCAGAGCACACAGAGTGCCTTCCCCAGTGCTGGCCCTGGCATTCCAGGGGTGTGGCTGGAGCCAGATGCGGCTGGTGAGACACTGCATCTGGGGCCTCTGGGGCCCGGCGAGTGACAAAGATTCTCCTGCTTTCTCTTCCAAGAGCTTCACTGGGAGCGTTGCCATAGGAACAAGGCCCCTGGGAGGGGCGAGGCATTCCCCTTTTGCTCTCCCTGATCCTCTGCATCCCAGCTCCCCTGTTTCCGTCCTCCCCGTCTTCTCAGTGCTGGTGCTGCCGTGGGGCCTGGGGGACACGCAGGTGTTTCCAGCACTTGACAATGCAGTAGCCTGTGCTGTGTGAACCCTCCGTAGCCCCTCATTCAGGCCCCTGGCCCTGTCTCTCAAGGGGTTCTCTTGTCTCTGTATCTTCCTTCAGACCAGCTCCAGGCTGGTCCCGTCACCCTGACTTCAGCAAGACCAGGGCTGATGCTCTGACCAGTGAAAGCCGTGGTGCTATTTATGATGAGGATCGGGAGGCAGGGAGCTCTTGGGTGAGGCTGGGAAAGCTGATGAAAGACTGGCTGGGAAGTGACTCGTGTCCTTTGTTCGTGGCTACGCCAGACAGCTTTCTTTTCTCCATGCAGCCTGCCCGCCCTTTCATGCATCCCTGCTTGTCCCCACACTGTCCTGTCCTGCTCCCCGCAACCCAGTGCCCTTTCCCCTCCCTTCTACCTGGTGAGTGACTTTGTATTTCAGAACCATCTCGAATGGAATGCCCTCTGGAGACCCCCTTCTCCCCACCCCTCCAAAGGGAGTGATTTTCTCCTTGTTCCACAGCCACGTGCGTTGTTCACAGCACTGTCGTGTCTTGCGGTCATTTCTTTGAGTTTCTGCAGGGTGCCAGGCACAGGGCTGGGCTCTCAATTTTACAGGCATAAAGAAGACCTGCGTCCTGTCCCAAGGAACTCACGGTCTAATGTTGGACACAAGTATGCCATGCAGTGAGGGCCTTTGGGAATGAACGTCTCAGGAGAGGCTTCATTGAAAAGGTGGCCCTGTAGTGGCCTTGACGTTGAGTAGGGTTATTTATTTATTTTATTTTATTTGAGATGGAGTCTCACTCTGTCACCTAGGCTAGAGTGCGATGGCACGATCTCGGCTCACTGGAACCTTCACCTCCTGGGTTCAAGCGATTCTTCCGCCCCAGCCTCCCCAGTAGCTGGGATTACAGGCACCCCATCGTGCCTGGCTAATTTTTGTATTTTTGTAGAGATGGGGTTTCACCATGTTGGCCAGGCCGGTCTTGAACTCCTGACCTCAGGTGATCTGCCCACCTCAGCCTCCCAAACTGCTGGGGTTACAGGCGTGAGGCGCTGTGCCCAGCCGAGGTTGAGTAGGGTTTTAACAGGGTCCCATGCAGAAGCTCCTTGGGGACAGGGATGTTTTCTCTCGTGTCGCACAGCTTGCACAGCGCCTAGCGTAGGGTAAATGTCTAGTATCTGGTCAGTAGGTGGATGGATACAGTTCTGCCAAGAAAGCCTTTGTGAAGGAGCTGGGGTTTGAGGGACCTTTGAAGGAGGCAAAGGAAGGGGCTTCAGGGTCAGAGAGAAACGAACATGAAATGAGGAAAAATGGCCAGAGCAGTGAGGAGCGTCCCAGAGGGAGCAAGAGGGTTGGATGGAATTGAGGGGTTTGGAGAATCCGGCCTGGTCTGGAATAGAGTTCTGAGAAGGCTTAGGCACAGAATCCCAGCACATAGTAGGTCATTGTGGACCTGAGCAGCAGGACGCAGTCATCTTCACCAGGTGCAGACAGGAGTACCCGTGCTGTTCACCCACCGGAGCACTGCCTTCAGCGGGTGGCATCTGGACCAGGGCACTGAGGTGAGGGAGAAGGGAACGGCATCTTGGGGTTGTCCAGGGTAAGGTCTGAGAAGCCACTGCAGGTGGGAGATGCTGCTTGCTGGAGTTGGCAACGGCGGTGGAAAACAGCCCTCAGAGCTGACTGTGAAGTCCACTGGTAAACATGCCCAGCCCCTCTAAGGAGGATGTGAAAAGTAAATTCATGGTCTTTCAAGAAAAACCCCCGAGATGGGCCTCTGTCCCATGCGCCAGGCAGGGGCGTTTGTATGTTATCTGTGGGGAAGTACACTGTCTTGCTGGTGGGTACGCGCAGCCAACCCGGCAACGTCTGTGAACCCAACTGGCAAAGGGAGAGGAACGTGGTAGTCTCTTTTTCTTTGCAATCAGCAAAATTTCCGGAGTGCCTCCAGCTTGCCAGGCTCTGCCCAGGGGCCGTCACGTACCCGTGGTGATGGCGTTCCTCACCACCACCGCAACAGGCAGATGTCAGCACTCCTTTGTAGCTGAGATCACCAAGGCTCCGAAAAGAGGGACTTCCCTAAGGCCCCCAGTGGGCAAGTGGGGCCACATTGCAAACTCCACTGTCTGTTGTTCCAGAAAACTCCACGGCCAGCGTGAGCGAGGCAGAGAGAAAGGCACAAGTGTACTACCGTGCGTGCATGAACGAGACCACGATCGAGGAGCTCAGGGCCAAACCTCTAATGGAGCTGATTGAGAGGGTGAGTCCCTCGGGCAGACTCTCTTCCCAGCCCCGCCCACGCCACCTGCCCGCCCCCTGGCTTCCATTACAGCCCTCTGGTACCACTGAGCTACGGCACACACCTCTAGCCGGTAGCACAGAGAGAGAGTGAGAGAGAGCGTGTGTGAGTGTGAGCGCATTGCATAGCTGCATGGGTGGGATGTCTGCGCATGTGTTTGTGTGAGGGTGTGTGTCAGCATTTGCTGTGGATGTCTGTCATCTGTCTGTGTGTCTCTGTGCATCTGTATGTGGGACAGGGGCCATGATTAGAGGGAAAATATTCCTCCACGTGGCTGCTGCTTTTTCTCAGGAGTTGTTTGTGTGTGTGGAGGGGTGTGCGCCTATTCCAGAAAGACCCACAGAGAGTCTGGCCCAGAATCAGAGCCCTCTGTGTAAGGAGGGACCAGGCCACGCTCCTATACCTGCTTACTCCTGAGTGGGGGGAAAACATCTTTCTTCCTGGGCACCTGCTAATGGGTCTTGAGCAGACTCCGAGGCTTCCTGGTGCAGACAGAAGGTGTCTGTGGGTGTTTTCTGCCTGCCTCATGCTCCAGGGATGGCCCTGCCTCTTAGCTTGGCTCTGGGAAAGCATTGTGGCAGGGTTGGTAGCTGCACGTGCTGGGGACTGTGCTAGCCCCTCCTCTCTGGACAAGTTTCATGTGCCAAACCAGGAAAGACCGGGTAGATTTTTTAAAATCCAACTTTCTTGGGAGGCTGAGGCAGAAGGACTACTTGAAATCAGGAGTTCAAGACCAGCCTGGGCAACATAGCAAGACCTCATCTCTACAAAAAAAAAAAAATTAAAAATCAGCCAGGTGTGGTGATACACACCTGTAGTCCTAGCTACTTGGGAGGCTGAGGTGAGAGGATCACCTGAGCCCACGAGGTGGAGGCTGCAGTGAGTTGTGATGGCCCCACTACACTCCAGCCTAGGAGACAGAATGACACTCCATCTCAAATAAAAACGTGTTTTTAAATCCCAACTTTGAGACTAAAGTAGGCCATAGTTTATCAGCCTTCTTAAACACGGAGAGCCTTTTATCCCCACAGGCACAATTGAATTTATGTTTTGATAAATCATATTCACAAGATTTCATTATCCAAAATATAAACCGTGAACCAGAAGAAGTTTCCCATTCCTATCCCAACCACCCAAGAAGCGGCTGGATTCATGCCTGGCTTGTCTAGGATAAGCCTTTGTTCCATCCGTGGGTCTCCAGCTCATGGGTTGGAAACCCCCCGTGAAGACCGATCCTTTCGTTTGCTCCTGAGGCTCAGAGAGGTCAGGTGACTGCCCCAGAGTCACACAGCAAGTCAGCTGCAGAACCAGAATCCGCATCCGGGTCTCCCTGCCATCTCATCACCTCCCTGCCTGCTCTCCCTCCCCACAGCTCGGGGGCTGGAACATCACAGGTCCCTGGGCCAAGGACAACTTCCAGGATACCCTGCAGGTGGTCACCGCCCACTACCGCACCTCGCCCTTCTTCTCTGTCTACGTCAGTGCCGACTCCAAGAACTCCAACAGCAATGTGATCCAGGTGAGCTGGCTTGAAACTGCAGGGTGGAGGGCAGGGGGCACAACCTTTTCCTGTTTAGAGTTTAGTGGGCCCTGGGGTGGGAGAGAGACTTGCCCTGGGTGAGGTGGCTGTCTTCTGGCTTCTGAGCCTGGATTATTTCCAGAGGCCCCATTGGTGAGATCTTTGCAAGCTGCCGGCCTTGCATAGGTGGGCACTGCAGACAGGTGAACCTTCAGGTGTTGATGGGTTCCTGTGGGCCCCAAGAGCGACGTCAGCTCCTGGGCACAGCTGAAGCCATGGCCTGGTTTCCCCTCCTCAGCGTCTGCTCTTTGTAACTCTGCTTGGAATGGTTTTGAATCCATCTTTCCTGTCAGAGCGTGCCCCAGACAGAGGATCAGCATGCCCAGGGGAGCCCCAACGCTGGTCTGCCCCAACCTCAGATGCAGAAGTAGGAACCCAGGCTAGGGGTCCTAAAGGCGGAGTTCCCAGCCCATCTCTACCATTTGCTCACTTTGTGACCTTGGGCAAGTGCCTCGACCTCTCAGAGCTACAGTTTCCTTATCAATCAAATGGACTGCAGTAACACCTGTCCTAGACATGCCAAGATGTGGCCGTGGGTGCCAGTAGTGGCAAGCAGGAATTGACCTTCCCCTCCTGCTCGGCAGGCACTTGACTGGCACTGTCTTCTTAACTCTCGATTCCAGCTCTGAAGATGTGGTTTTATTTTCCCTATTTTCCTGATAAGGAACCTGAGAATCAGAAAGGTTCAGTAACGTGGCCAAGGTCACACAGCTTTTGAGTGACTCTTAACCACCAGTAAAGTATTGGGGAGATAGAGGTGCTTTGCTGAGGTGAGGAGGTGTTTAGAAAGGAGGGTGGCTCTGCCCAGCCCTTCCAAGGAGCCTGGGATCCCTGTGGCGGACCAGGTGTACAGACAGGAATGTGTCATCCCATCCCTGGGTGGGCTTCCCAGTGACTGTAGCTACCAGTCCTGCTTCTGCAGGGGCCTGAGCAGGCCTCTGCTGCCACGTGCCAGCCATTCCCAGAGCAGGAGGCCGTGCAGTGGACACACGTGTGTGCAGCACAAATTGCCTCTCATGCCTGCCTCTCTCACTAGGTGGACCAGTCCGGCCTGGGCTTGCCCTCGAGAGACTATTACCTGAACAAAACTGAAAACGAGAAGGTGAGCGTGCCTCTCCCCTCCCCAGCCTGCCTCCCAGGATGGTTCTTCCTGCTTGGTCCACTCCTGAACCTATGCACGTCTTTGAAGCTAGGGGAGCCCAGGAGTGTTGGTGACCTGATGGGTGACAGGCAGACCCTGGCAGGGGAGGGACACTATCTAGGCTGGCTGTGTCACTCAGGCATCGTGGACACAAGGGGCAGGAGACAGGTATCTTTTGTCCTGGTTCTAGAGAGAGGCAGCAATAACAGCCACCACCATTGTGGGTGCCAGGCCTTCTAAATGTCACCTGCAACCCTCCCAATAGCCCTGCAGATACTGAACTTCCCTGAACCTTATTTGCCTCATCTGTCAAACAGGAATTAGTTTTATCTTGCCTTTTACAGAAAAGGGAATCAGGCTCAGAAATGCTAAGTGATCTGCTCAAGGTCACATAGGCAGTAAATGACGAGGCTGAGATTCACATCCAGATCCACGTGCTCCGAAGCCCACGGCTCTCCCTACCCTGATCTGCCTTTTGTGATGCCCTTGGGGTGAGCTCGCCTGGAACTCACTCATCTGTCCTTTCATTCTTCCACCTGAATGTCCTTGAGCAAACGCCCACGGAGTGCCTGATGCTGGGGAGATGGTGGCAGACAAGACCACCATAGCCTCCGTTCTATGGGGCCTGTGGTTTGGTAGGGGAGGCAGATATTATTTAGCTGAGGGAAGGGGGAGCTGAGAAAATCTACCATGGGGACCTAATTCAGATCCTGGAACACAGGAGTAGAGGGTGGTTAGATAAGGTACATTCTAAGAATGGAAAGACAGCCCCGGACAAACACTGGAAGACAGGGACCAGCCCATGTGGGGACCTGTGGAACCAGCCAAGACTTTGGGCTTTCTTCTGGGGACTGTAGGGAACCAGTGGAGAGACGTGGCCCCAAGACCGTTCTCAACACTGTGTCTCCCACAGGTGTCTCTTTTTTTTGAGATGAAGTCTTGCTCTGTTGCCCAGGCTAGAGTGCAGTGGCACAATCTCAACTCACTGCAACCTCCTCCTCCTGGGTTCAAGCAGTTCTCCTGCCTCAGCCTCCCGAGTAGCTGGGATTACAGGCACGTGCCACCATGCCCAGCTAATGTTTGTATTTTTAGTAGAGACGGGGTTTTGCCATGTTGTCCAGGCTGGTCTTAAACTCCTGACCTCAGACAATCTGCCCGCCTCGGCCTCCCAAAGTGCTGGGATTATAGGCGTGAGCCCCCACACTGGCCCCACAGGTGTCTTGAGGGCACTGTGCAGCCCCCTGGCTCCCTGTGCTGGACTCGGCTGGCCAAGCCCCCCTTAACCCTTGTCCAGTGGATAGTGGGGGGCAGCCACTGACAGTTTGGGGTGTGGACCCTGCAGGTGCTGACTGGATACCTGAACTACATGGTCCAGCTGGGGAAGCTGCTGGGCGGGGGCGACGAGGATGCCATCCGGCCCCAGATGCAGCAGATCCTGGACTTCGAGACGGCACTGGCCAACATCACCATCCCACAGGAGAAGCGCCGAGACGAGGAGCTCATCTACCACAAAGTGACAGCGGCCGAGCTACAGGTAACTTGAGCGCCAGCTGCTAGGAAGGCCAGGATGGCCACCACACTTCAGACAGGGCCCTGGGCTGGGGGCTTTTATACTCATTTCATTTAGTCCTTGAAACCATGTGACAAAGGAAGGATGGTGGTTATGCCCAGTCCACAGGTGGAAAAACTGATGCTCAGAGAGATCAAGTTACCTGCTGAAGGGCACACAGCTAGTAAGTGACTCCAAAATGAGTGGATGGCCAACACCAGCCTGCTTCTCTGTAATTAACAGTGTTTACTTTGAGACTCGGGATCATGACCACACCAGCTCACATTGATGGTTCCTTTCCCGTCTCTCCAGCACCAAGCGCATCGAACCTGGGGTGTGGATTCTATCATTATGTTTCCCTTTTCTGAGCTAGAGCAAGGTCTGGAGGCTCCTAAGTGGTAGAGGAGCTGGACATTTGGCTCAGATTGGCTCACAGTATGACAGAGCGTTAGATCTGCGATGCAGTCTGTCACCCATCGGAGAAGCCTGATGTCCAAGGGGCCAGCTTCTGCCAAAGGCTGCCCTCCGACGGTGGCTTCGTCCTTGAGGGTCGGGAGGAAATAGCCTGCTGGTTCCTTCTTTCCAGAGTATCAGCTGGTATTGCAGCGGGATCAGCAGGGTGGCCACACTGATTTTCTCATTTCTTGACATCACCCAGGAATGCTTGGCTAGGCCTTGCTTCCCCGCCGGGCAGGGGTGTCACCTGTACACTGGGGCTCCCCCAGAGTGTCTTCTCCCTTCTTCCTTATTTCTGACCAGCTGAATTCTACCTGTCCATTCCTTCTACTTTCAGAAAGAACACTAGGTCCCCGCCCTTTTCCCTCCTCTATCTGACAGGTGTCTATGGGTCACCTTGGGACCTTGTACTTTATGTGCTTCCAGGCCAGTGGGGGACACCAGCTAGAAACAACCCTGTCTCATTGCTGAGTGCCTTGGGCAAAAGCAGCAGGCCCTGGGAGCCAGGGGTGGGGAGAAGTCAGAGATGGTGAGTGTAATGATGGGTGAGCATTTCCAGGCTGACTGAGTGTCCCAGGCGGAGATAGAGGCCATTGCAAGGGCCTGGGATCAGGGTCGGGAGCCTGGCCTCCTGCTGGTGCCAGCCGTTCTTCAGCTCCCACAGAAACTGGCCTGAGGCCGAGTGGTGTGGAGCGGGCCGGGCTGGAGCTCGGCAGCTGCTGTTGGATACCATCTGGCACTGTTTTCCTGCTCTGAGGCCAGGAGGCTGAGGGTGATGTTGTTTATACATTATAATTTGCTTTGCCCCAGCCCGGTTCTCAGCCTGAATCCACTATCGTGGCCATGAGGCCAACTGTCTGTGCCAGGAATAGTGGAGAAGGCACAGGAGCCTTGAGCACATCAGCCCAACATGGCCACCAGGGCCCCCCAGGTATCCTATCACCATAGCTGCTGCTCCCATCTTCCAAGCAAGGAAAGAAAGGCTTTTCCTCCCTCCCAGCTGCACAGCTGCCAAGGTGGGAGGAGCTTAGCAGACGTAGCAGCTTGCGGTAGCACAAGCCTGGGCTTAGGGTCAGAAGGACTATAAGCCCCTTGGAACTATAAGTGCTGGGATTATAGGCATGAGCCACCACGCCTTGGCAAACAGCCCCTGTGTTCTAAGTACCCAAGGTTCAACTAAGATCTTTAGGAAATATAGGGATTCTCTCCTTATGTTTTTACAGATATTTCTGATTAAATTCTAATGTGAATTTGGCTTCCTTCTTTGTAAAATGGGTTTGGCTCTTTCACTCACCCTTGCTGTGTGCCAGAACACAAATGAGACATAGCTCTTGGCCTCACAAGGGGCTGTGGTTCTTAACTTTAAGTCACAGAGTCCTTTGAGGACAGATCGAAAACCATGGACTGTTTCCTAGAATAAATGGGCAAATATGCATATTTTAAAAGTTACATCTGACTCTTAAAGAAGTCCTGGCCAGGCACAGTGGCTCACACCTATAATCCCAGCACTGTGGGAGGCCAAGGCAGGTGGATCACCTGAGGTCAGGAGTTCAAGACCAGCCTGATCAACATGGTAAAACCCCATCTCTCCTAAAAATACAAACATTTGCTGGGTGTGGTGGTGCACACTTGTAGTCCCAGCTACTCGGGAGGCTAAGGCAGGAGAATTGCTTGAACCCGGGAGGCAGAGGTTGCAGTGAGCTGAGATTGCACCACCGCACTCCAGCCTGGGTGACAGAGTGAGACTCCATCTCAAAAAAATTTTTAAATAAAAAATAAAGAAATCCCGGCCCCTTAAAGCCTGTGTTCTAAGTAAGAATGTCTTGTCTGGCCTGCCAGAGTTGCAGGAGAATAAGTTGAAGCAAAGGATGAGATTTTGTTCAGTAGACTGGTATGCATAACACAATACAAGCATAACATACCGGATTCAGCATTATTGTTATTATTGCTTTGTTATTAGCATGTCATGCAGATTCCCCAGCACTAAATCGTTTGATTCATTCTACCCTGGGACAGAGAATGTCTTGTTCCCTGGCGTCTGGAGACTGGGGTTTTCTTCCCATACTCCGGGAAACTCAGAGAAAGGCACTCCAGGCTTCACAGTGTGCTTCTAGGCTAGCCCTGCTGAGGTACAGAATGGTTCCAGGCTAGTTCCCAGCAGAGTCTGAACTCAGACACTCTTCCGTTACTTCTGGGGGCCTGAGGACCTTCCCCTTCCTTTCTAGGACCCTCACACCAAAGGCTGTTTGGGCCTGAACCCCATTTTCTACCCCGTTTCTCCAGTTGAGATGAAGCTCAGAAGCATTCTTCTCTTCTCTTGCACTTTCAATTCTACTAGAATTGGTTGGTTTGTGACCCACAGGATGCCTTGGCTGCAGGTGTGGAAAATGGAGCTCATCAGTGTGCCCCAGAGGGTGTGAGTCACAAGTGGAATGTCCTAGTCAGTAAAACAGCCATCTCCATGGAGATGGAGCTCCGCACATGTGTTTAAGATAGGAGTCACTAAAGCAGCCAGAATGGAAAATGGGAAAATCCTGGTATTCAGCATATCTTATCTGAGAGTCATGGGAACTTCCCCTGCACAGAACACCTGCTTTTCCTAAAGGGACAGGGTTGTGTTGAGTACACAAAGATTTCTCACCGTCTTATATCTGTACCTTGATCAGAGAGTTCCCGTTGCCTGCAGTTTATGAAGCTCTCGTTCACTGTGCAAACACCGACATTTTGTAAACTTGTCGATTTTTCCGAGGCCTTTGCCAGCAGGTCATGCGGTCACATGGCTCTAATGGTGGAACCCTATTTGAAGATCTCATAACCGCAGCTTCAATTTTTGTGGTCACAGAAATGTTAAAGATTAGCCTCAGTGGTTACCTGCCTGAGGGCCTCCTGTCCGGAGGAGAGCAGAGAGGACAAGGCAGGGAGAAAGGAAACTCAGGGTTATTGGGCAAGCAGGTACAAGAGACAGAGCCACCAGCTCTGGGAGGGGAGGCTGTTTCCCCATTTTAGAGACAACAGAAAAATGCTGGAGGTCTAGAGCTGGGGACGCTGTTCCTCCTGGGGACGCTGATCCAGGTCTGCTCATTCTTAGCCCAGGCTCTACCCAGCTCATCTAGCTGCCACGCAGGCAGGGGTACACCAGAGCCCCCTGGCCCCCGAGACCGCTGTGCACATCTCTTCCCAGCTCCGCAGTTATTTTGTCATCAGTCATGGTGGGAAGAGTTACCCAGAAACTGAGAGCCGGTTGTTAACTGTTTTGTTTTTGCTTTTGCTTTGAGACAGAGCTTTGCCCCATTGCCCAAGCTGGAGGGCAGTGGCATGATCTTGGCTCACTGCAACCTTCGCCTCCCCGGCTTAAGTGTTTCTCATGCCTCAGCCTCCCAAGTTGCTGGGATTACAGGCATGCACCACCACATCTGGCTGATTTTTTTTATTTTTGGTAGAGATGAGGTTTCGCCATGTTGGCCAGGCTGGTCTTGAACTCCTGGCCTCAGGTGATTCTCCTGCCTCAGCCTCCCAAAGTGCTGGGATTACAGGCATGAGCCACTGTGCCCGGCACAGTCGTTCAAGACTGTGTGTTTACCACCATGCCACTGCCTTCAGGACTTGCCCTCCTTACAAATTCGCCTGTCCTTTGAGGTCCTTGTTCCCCAGCAGCTTAGTTGCCCTTTTAAACCCGAAGAGTTGAGTAAACCTGGGTTTTAGACCTCCACAGTGGCTAATTAACTATGTGACCTCAGGAAAGTCACCTTACCCCATCTGCAAATTCAGCATCTGTTAAGCGGGGGTTTACAGCTACCCCTCTCTCACAGAGGGTGTCATTGGTATTTATCAACAGGCTATAGATTGGTCTTACATCGCAGATCGATTTTACTTTATTGATTGATTTTTCCATATGAAGGCCATATATGATGCATCTCTCACCTGCTCTGTCTTGCATTTTGTCCTTTTTCAAGAAAACAAAAGAGAATTTGGAATTGGACAGGCCCAGGAACACACATGGGAGATCTTGAGCAAAGGTTGTAATGGCCAGCATTGATGGATGACTTGCTAAATACCAGACATACCCATCTAAGTGATTGACACGTTACAGGCATTTTTACTGTACAAAGATTGTAATGGCCAGCATTGATAGATTGCTTGCTAAATACCAGACATACCCATCTAAGTGATTGACATATACAGGCATTTTTGCTGTGACAGTATATGTAGTCCTAAAAAACCTTGCGTTCTGTAAAATCACACACTAAAAATAACAGTACGTGTGGGGGAAATAGAACGGGAGCAGAACAAAAGTTACACAGCTTTACTTGAGGATATTGTGCTAAGCAAAATAAGCCAATCACAAAAGGACAAATACTGCCTGATTCTACTTATTTGAGGTACCTAGAGTAGTCAAGTTCACAGAGACAGAAAGTAGAATGGTCATTTCCAGGGGTGGGGGTTGGGGCCAGTGGGAAGGTATTCCCTAATGGGTAGAGTCTCACATTTGCAAGATGAAATCTGTGGGGCCAGGCATGGTAGCTCACGCCTGTAATTCCCTCACTTTGGGAGGCCGAGGCAGGTAGATCACCAGAGCTCAGGAGTTCGAGACCAGCCTGACCAATATGGTGACACTCTGTCTCTACTAAAAATAAAAATAAAAAAAAAAAATAGCCAAGCGTGGTGGTGTGTGCCTATAGTCCCAGCTATTCGGGAGTCTGAGATAGGAGAATCGCTTGAACCGGAAGGCAGAGGTTGCAGTGAGCCACGATCATCACCACTGCACTCCAGCCTAAGTGACAGAGTGAGACTCTCTCTCAAAAATAGATAAATAATAAAAAAAAGAAATCTGTGAATGGATAGTGGTAGTGATGACAGTGCAACCGTGTGAATGAACCGAATGCCCCTGAACGATGCTGTTGTTTTTTTGAGTCAGGGTTTCACTCTGTCAACCAGGCTGAAGTGTAATGGTGTGATTTCAGCTCACTGCAGCCTCGACCTTCTAGGCTCAAGCAATTCTCCACCTGGGACTATGGGTGCAGGCCACCATGGCTAGCTAATTTCTAAATTTTTCTTGTAAAGATGGTGTCTTGCCATGTTGCCCAGGTTGGTCTTGAACTCCTGGGCTCAAGTGATATGCCCGCCTCAGTCTCCCAAAGTGCTGGGATTGCAGGCATGAGCCACTGTGCCTGGCCTTCCACTGTGCTCTTAAACACGGTGAAGATGGTGAATTTTTTGTTACGTGTATTTTACCACAATATATAGAGTCTCACTCTGTCGCCCAGGCTGGAGTGCAGTGGCTCAGTCTGGGCTCACAGCAACCTCCACCTCCCCAGTACAGGCAATTCTCCTGCCTCAGCCTCCCGAGTAGCTGGGACTGCAAGCATGCATTACCACTACCATGCCCAGCTAATTTTTTTTTTCTTTTTTTTTTTTTTTTTTTGAGACAGGTTCGCTCTGTTGCCCAGGCTGGAGTGCAGTGGCGCGATCTTGGCTCACTGCAACCTTTGCCTCCCAGGTTCAAGCGATTCTCCTGCCTCAGCCTCCCAAGTAGCTGGGACTACAGGTGTGCACCTCCATACCTGGCTAAGTTTTGTATTTTTGGTAGAGACAGGGTTTCATCATGTTGTTCAAGCTGGTCTCGAACTCCTCACCTCAGGTGGTTCACTGGCCTCAGTCTCCCAAAAGGTACTACAATTTTTTTTTTAAGTTGTGCAACTTTGTAATCAGAATTCTAACAAAACAATTGGAAACTTGAGGAGTACCTCAGCATGGCCAGAGGCTGCCGTGGGGAACGCGCCGGCTGGGAAGTGCTAGCTGTGGACACTAAGACCCTACAGATAAGACAGGGAGCTTTGAGCAAGTGTCTTTGGGGTCCTGGAGAAAGTACAACCTTCTGGAAGCTGAGAGTTGCAGAGCCTCTCTGAGGACAGTAAACCCCAGGCTTAAGGGGTTTTCGGTCATCTTAAAATATAGCTGACCATGGTGGCTCATGCCTGTAATCCCAGCACTTTGGGAGGCCGAGGCAGGCAGATCCCTTGAGGTCAGGAGTTTGAGACCAACCTGGCCAACATGGCAAAACCCCGTCTCTACTAAAAATAAAAAATTAACCAGGCATGATGGTGGGCACCTGTTGTAATCCCAGCTACTCGGGGGGCTGAAAGAGGAGAATCACTTGAACCCCAGAGGCGTAGGTTGCAGTGAGCCAAGATGGCACCACCGCACTCCAGCCTGGGTGACAGAGTGAGACTCTGTCTCAACAAAAAACAAGTAGACCTGACCAGCCTCCTGTGTGCATTGGCTGAGCTGAGGGCTTTTCCTTTCTTGCTGAAGGTTAGCGTTTGACCCTTCCCAATTGTCAGGCCTCCAAGTCCAAGCCTGGCCATGATAGCCTTGGTGACCTGCTCATACACCTCCAGCTGGTCTCCGGGAACCAGAAAGTCTAGAGTAACTGGATGGCCATGAGGAGAAGTGAAACAACTAGCTCCTGCCTCAACTGATTGCTCTCCCCCGCAACACTGACCTGCTCAGCCTTGTGAAATTTCCACCCTAGCCATTAGGTTTCTTAAAACCCCTCCCCCTGTAACTGTGTAATTTACCGCACCCTCCCCTCACTTGCAACCAATAACCCCCACCCTTACTATCATGCCTGTTTGTAATAGATAACCCCTACCCTTGTGACCGTGCATCCCGTGACACCCTTCCCGTCCCTAAAATAGTTACCACCTTTAACTAACCAATTGCCGCAACCTGTATAACCAGACCCTTTCCTACTCCCCTCGCCTAACTCCTTTCTCGAACTTGGCCCGCTTGCACCCAAGTGCTAAATAGAACTGCCTCGTTGCCCACATGAAGCCTGCCTGGTGGTTTCTTGAGGCGAGCGCCGCGCTTAACACTGATCCCATGCCTAAGAAACATCACCTTTGGACCAGCGCAGCTCACACGTCATGCTGCTGTCATCTGGAATTGACCAATCATGTAGAAGCTCACTGAGATTACAGAACCCAACGTCGAATAGAACAGACGGCGTAAGCTCGTTCAGTCCTCACAGATAACCCAATGAAGTGGATTCTGTTATGCTGATTCCCATCTTTCAGACAAGATACTGAGGCCCAGAAGGGTTCATTCACTTGCCCAGGGTTACACAGCTAGCAAGTAAGAGAGCTAGAATATGAGCCCAGGAGGTTTGGCTGCAGATTCTGCATGCTCAACTGTTTCAGGCCTATCTGAAGCTCAGTCTCTTCACAGATAAAGCAGAGATAATAGTACCTACTACCTGGATCTCCCGAGGACCAATTGGCATAATATGCATGAATCATTTGCCACAGCTCTGGCACACAGGAGACGCTGGGTGAATGGTAGCGGCAGCTGCTGCATCTTCTCATTCCATCCTAGTTCCATTTCAAGTTAAATGTTGGTGTTGGACTCCTTAGAATTCTACCTACAGCATCTCCGACAAAAGTCTGCTGGCCTCCCTTTGACTCTCTGCCCAGTGCACTGTCAGACAGCGCCAAGCCCAAGCTCTTTCCTTTGCTTCCTGTAGCAGCCCATCCTGGAGACCGGGGCTATGAGGAGAAGCAGCCTTGCAGGTCACATTGTCCTTTTCCCTTGCAGACCTTGGCACCCGCCATCAACTGGTTGCCTTTTCTCAACACCATCTTCTACCCTGTGGAGATCAATGAATCCGAGCCTATTGTGGTCTATGACAAAGAATACCTTGAGCAGGTCTCCACACTCATCAACAATACCGACAAATGGTAAGGGGACCCCGGTGGCCTGGGGCACGCCTCTCACAGGCAGTCCTCCTCTTGGGTAGGCTGGGCAGGGGTGGGGATGACAAACTGACTCAGAAGAGTGAGACCGGGATGGGCTTTTATGAGAGGCAGCAGGACCTCCTGGTTATGGGCACAGGTTCAAATCCCAGCTCCTTTCCAACTACCAGCTTTGTAGCCTTGGGCGGATTTCTTATCCTTTCTTAAGTTCATTCTCCTCCTCCATAAAATGGGATACAAATAGCACCTATGGCCAGGCACAAATGCCTGCAATTGAAGGATTTTGGGAGACTGAGGCAGGAGGATTACTTGAGTCCTGGGATTCAAGCCCAGCCTGTGTAACACGGCGAGATGGCGTCTCTACAAAAAATTAAAAATTAGCCAGACATGGTGTCACGTACCTGTCGTCCCAGCTACTTGAGAGGGAGGCAGAAATGGAAGGATTGCTTGAGCTCAGGAGGCAGAGATTGTAGTAAGCTGTGATTACACCATTGCACTCCAGATTGGGAGACAGAGTAAAACCCTGTCTCAAACAAACAAAACCTAGCACCTACCTTTTAGGGGTGTCGTGAGAATCAAGTGAAACAATCCATATGAGGTGATTTAATACAGTGCCTAGCATGCAAGGGGACTCAATAAATGTTGGCTGTTATTTTAGTTAATACTTAAGATTTTCTTTTTTTTTTTTTTGAGATAGTCCTGCTCTGTCACCCAGGCTGGAGGGCAGTTGCGCAATCTCAGCTCACTGCAACCTCCACCTCCCAGGTTCACATGATTCTTCTGCCTCAGCCTCCCAAAGTGCTGGGATTACAGATACCTGCCACCACAGCTGGCTAATTTTTGTATTTTTTAGTAGAGATGGGGCTTTACTATGTCGGCCAGGCTAGTCCCAAACTCCTAACCCCAAATGATCCGCCCGCCTCAGCCTCCCAAAGTGCTGGGATTACAGGTGTAAGCCACCACGCCTGGCAATACTTACAATTTTTAAAGTTATTGAAAACTACCAAAAAAACAGGAAAAGATTTTATTTTATTTTATTTAACTTATCTTTTTCCTAACTCCCCAAACTTGTTAAAAACATTTTTTTTAATGAGATGGGGTCTCACTATGTTGCCCAGGCTGGTCTCAAACTCCTGGGCTTAGGCAACCCTCCCACCTTGGCCTCTCAAAGTGCTAATATTACAGGCGTGAGCCACCCACCAGACCCTGAAAAAATTTTAAATGACTCCTACTGATCTCGGGTGTGTGTGTGCATGTGTGTGTGTGTGTGTGTGTGTGCGTGTGTGTGTGTGCACGCATATGTAGAGAGAAAGCATGGGGAAGGCAGGAGAGAGGAGGGAAGGAGAGATGGGTTTTCTAATATGTGGTCCTTTTTTCCCAACATCATGACTAAATGTATAGTCTCCTTTTCTCTTCACTTTTCTTTTTGAGACGGAGTCTCGCTCTGTCACCCAGGCTGGAGTACAGTGGCGTAATCTCGGCTCGCTGCAACCTCCGCCTCCCGGATTCAAATGATTCTCCTGCCTCAGCATCCCAAGTAGCTGGGATTACAGGCATGCGCCACCACACCTGGCTAATTTTTGTATTTTTAGTAGAGACAGGGTTTCACCACATTGGTCAGGCTGGTCTTGAACTCCTGACCTTGTGATCCTCAGCCTCCCAAAGGGCTAGGATTACAGGGGTGAGCCTCCATACCCAGCCTTCCCTTTGACCTTTAATGTGAGCATTTTCCCCCATGTCATCTCAAAACCTCTGCAAACATCATTTTTCGTGGTTGCATAGTGTTCCATCATGTACAACTACAGTTCTTCACTTCCTTCTTCTCATTGTCAGGCATTTTGGTTGATTCTGATTGGAGGTTAGATGTTCATTACAGTGCTAAGGTGACTTCTTGGCAACTGTGGCAAGAGCCACAGATAGGTTCCCTGTGCCCTGGGGGTGGGCAGTGGGAGCTGTCATCATGGAAACCTTGGCCTGGCTGGCAGAGCTTCTTTTCCTGCCCCTCCTATTCTTTGCCTCCTGGCCTTGTGGCTGTGGCACCTCCAAGCTGTAGAAATGGTAGTCACCTCTCCACGCCAGCCCTGTGGCACACACCACTGGGGTGAGTCTCCATGTTGGGGCTTCATAGCTTCCAGACACAGAGCAGCTAGGCCACAAGCATCTGTGGTGTACAAGTGATTGCATTAAAAACACTGAGGCATTTTCTATGGTAGGAGACCCAGGCTTTTCCCTTGAAGAGCTTACATTCCACAAACTTAGGGAGCAGTAACCCGCCAAACCTGGGCAAGCTTGAAGGGGCCTGGGGTCACAAGCCGAGTTTGAGAGCCCCCTAGGAGCCAGTGGGGGAAGGGCTGCGATGGTCCCTGCGTAGGTGTCCCTGAGCCCATCTGGCCTCCTCTCCCTGCAGCCTGCTCAACAACTACATGATATGGAACCTGGTGCGGAAAACCAGCTCCTTCCTCGACCAGCGCTTTCAGGATGCCGATGAGAAGTTCATGGAAGTCATGTATGGCACCAAGAAGGTGAGCCTGACGCTGTGCACACCTGAACATGGGCTGAGCACCTACTTTATGATGAGGCGTCTGTGGGAGCACGGGAAGGGACCTTGGCCAGCTGGGGGCGGGCAGAAGCTTCCAGAAGGAGGTGATTATGCCAAGGAAAGGGTAAAGAGGAGTCCTAGCCACTTAGCCAATTTATAGCAAAAAGTAGTTGCCAGTAGTGATGATAAATGCTCTCCTTGAGCAACTCACGTGATCCTCACAATGCCTGTGCAGTGGGCAATGTTATCATCCCCACTTTGCACAGGGGAGCCCCAACAGTATGACTTCTTCCCCAGAAACATAAAACACAGAACAGCGTCTGGCTTGTGGAAGCACCACGAGACCGTTCGCTGTTACTATTTTCCTCCCAGTTTGTAGTCTGGGAAACTGCAGGCCAGGTGGGCTCTACCTGCCTTTAAATGCCCCACCATGACCCAGAGGGTCCACTCTTCCAGAGGCTTCAGGGACCTCCCCTGCCCTCCCACAGGGGAACCTGCCCCCAGTGGAAAGTTCCACAGCCACTTCCACCTTCTCCCCAAGGAAGGGGCTATCACCCTCTTACTCATACAGCCAACTAATGGTTACTCACTGCACTCCTGACACTGCGTGCCAGTACGGCAATACTGAGACAGGTGAGCTGGGCTCTGTACCCCGAGAGCCCACACCGGCTGAGGGAGGTGATAGGAACTGACCTGTTCCCATATGTGCTGTTGAGATACCTCAAGCCCCGGCCCCAGAGAGCAGCTGGAGGGGCCCAGCTACAGAGCAGCAGAGGCTGGTATGCCAAGCTTACCTGACACACCTTCCCTGTAGGGTCCAGCAGCCTTTATGCAGGCATGACAGAGGCCTTAGAGCATCTTGCCTTAGTGTCATTCATTTCACAGTGTCACCCCAGGTTCACACTTCCGACGTGAGAGGCATTAGTAAAAGAGTTAAGATCACCTATGAATAACTAAGATCACATACAAATAACTAATTACTACGGTTATATTTCTAGTTACTTTCTTCTTCATTATTTATATGGAAATAGGCTGAGGCCTTTTGCTCTTGCCTCAGCGCTTATGGGATCTCCCCGCTACACTTCCCTAACCCACGACAGCAGCTAGCAAGGCCCCAGCAGTCCTCCTCAGAGAGCAGGCAGAGCTGACTCCAGCTGGACCCCACCCCTGCAGCCCTTCGCAGAGTCCAATCCAGATGAGGATTGGCAGAGAATTGCAGGGTGTGAGCTCCTGCTTCCAGCCCGGGAATGCATCCTGCCAGTCCTCTCTCCCATCCCCATGCAAACCTACCTCTGACAGGAAGGGGACTGAGGAAGACAGTAGCTGGGAACAAGCCCCATTTCTAACCAGAGGAGCTTCCAAGGGCACCACCACGCCTTGGCCACGAGAGCCACGCTGCCCTACGGAGGACAAGGAGGAGCAGTGTGCTGGCTGCCCTGCCCGGCCAAATCGCCTGCCTGCTCCTCCTGCATCTGCCTTGGACTGGCCCATCTGCCATCCCCAAAGCTTGGATTCTGTTCCCTGCAGAACTTGGCCTTCCAGGGGACTTTCCAGAGAGAGGTTGGATCAGGACCCAGGATGGTGGTTCCAGAGATGGCTCTGTGTGTGGAACATACACCCGCATCAGCTCTCGCCTTTCCGGGTTACAGATTAGGAAACTGAGGCTCAGGGAGGTGAAGGGACTTTCTTAGTCACCCAGAAAGAAAGTAGCAAGGGCCTGGTGCAGTGGCTCATGCCTGTAATCTCAGCACTTTGGGAGGCCGAGACAGATGGGTCACTTGAGACCAGCCTGGAAAACATAGCAAGATCCTGCCTCTATTTTTTTAAATAGTTATTTATTTATTTATTTTTAAAAAGCAGCAAGCTTGAATGTGATCCCAGATCTTATTACAACTTTGTGGCACTTTCAGCTCCTCATTTATAATAATGACAATAATAACCAAAGAGATCATTATTGGATATCTACCTTTTATAGGCATGATCTCAACCACGTTCCTACAACACTTATCATCGTCCATGTTGCAGATGAGGAAACCAAGGCTCAGTGAGGGAAAGGGACTTGTTCAAAGGTGCTTATAAGTGAAGAGGAGGCTCTCAGATCTGACATATCTGATTCCATAGCCCTGAGCTCTGTACCACTCAGCCTCTCTTCTTCAGAAACCAAAAGTTAAGATCAAGCTTCCCTGTAGTCACCAAGGGCTGAGATGGGGGAAGAGGGATGAGGAATTATTGTTTAATGAGTATAGAGTTTCAGATTTGCGAGATAAAAAAGTTCTGAGCCAGGCACAGTGGTGCATGCCTGTACTGTGGTCCCAGCTACTGTGGAGGCTGAGGTGGGAGGACTGCCTGAGCCCAGGAGTTTAAGGCTGCAGCCAGCTATCACTGACTGCACCACCGCACTCCAGCCTGGGCAACAGAGAGAGACCCCATCACTTAAAAAAAAAAAAAATTAGTTGCAGAGTGAGCTTCCCTGGGCCACGTTCAAAGCACAGAATGTTGCTCGCTCGAATGTGGCACTTGGAGCAGGTGGGGCACAGGGAGGCCTCAGAAGAGGCAGGGGCAGGTGGAAACCCTGAGCTGGGAGGCTCTGAGCAGGGGTCTCTGGTTACCCCAGGGCTGATGGGTGAAGGCTGCTGCTCACCTCTTTCTTAATATCCAGCCCTCCCCACTCCCCGACTCTGACGGCATCTAGGCCCAGGCCAGGTCCCTCCTGCTTGCGTTCAGCCCAACTCAAAGCCACCTCCTAGCTCTGTGACCTTGGGTAGTCCTTATACCTCTCTGAGCCTGTTTTTTTTAATCTGCAATTGGAGATCATTCCTGACTTCACCTCACAGGACCTTTCTGTATGACCTCCGTTTGGGAAAAAGCATGGAACCTGGGAAGCAGTGTGGCCTGTGCATTTGTTCATCCTGTCAGGGAGGGAGCCTGCTATGAGGAAACAGCACAGAATTTGGGATCAGAAGATCCGAATTTGAAATGTTTCTTCTAACAACACCTTAGGCAAATTGCTTAATTGGGGCAGGGGCTCAATCTCCCATCTGTAACAAGGGGTAACAAATCCCTGCCCCGCACACCCCCAGGCTGCCTAGGATGACATGGGGGGGTCCCTGTGAAGTCTGTTCTGACTGCTCAAGTGCTGCGTGTGGCTGTTTCTCATCAGCTGTCACCCATTTGTGACTTAAGACTTCCAGCAGGAAGGAAGGAACCCCTTGCTGAGTCCTTGTATTACAGTGAGGAAATTTTAAAAATGCAGCCGGGCGTGGTGGCTCACGCCTGTAATCCAAGCACTTTGGAGGCCAGGGTGGGCGGATCACCTGAGGTCGGGAGTTCAAGACCAGCCTGACCAACGTGGTGAAACCCCATCTTTAAAAAATTAAAAAAAAAAAAAAATGCAGCCAGCTCAGGGTGGAGGAGGCTGCCTGGCTGCTCCTTATCTTCCCGGACTTGAGTCAGAAATCACCTCCAAATGCAGCCTTCCTGACCGGTCAGATCCATCCGACCTTTGCTCCCTTTGGAGATTTTTCTCATCATCCGGTAGCACTTCTAGGGACTTTGTGACTTGTAGGCAGAGAGTGTAGCCTCTTTGAAGGAAAGCATTGGAGCCGGACTTTTTGAGTTCAAATTCCACCTCTGTCTGGGCGTGGTGACTCACACCTGTAATCCCAGCACTTTTCGGAGCCCAAGGCAGATGGATCACCTGAGATTAGGAGTTTGAGGCCACCCTGGCCAACATGTTGAAAGCCCATCTCTACTACAACTACAAAAAATAGTCGGGTGTGATGGCACACACCTGTAATCCCAGCTATGTGGGAGGCTGAGGCAGAAGAATCACCTGAACCCGGGAAGCAGAGGTTAAGATTGCACCACTGCACTCCAGCCTGGAAAACTGAGCAAGACTCCATCTCAAAAAAAAAAAAAAAAATCTACCTCAAGCACTTACTCCCTGGGTGATCCCTTTGGCCAAGTGATTTAACCTCCCTATGCTGCCATTTTGTTTCGTTTGTTTTTGAGACCGACTCTCACTGTGTCACCAAGGCTGGAGTGCAGTGGCACTATCTCAGCTCATTGCAACCTCCACCTCCTTGGTTCAAGGGATTATTCTGCCTCAGCCTCCCGAGTAGCTGGGACTACAGGTGCATGCCACCACGCCCAGCTAATTTTTGTGTTTTTAGTAGAGACAGGGTTTTACCATATTTGCCAGGCTGGTCTCAAACTCCTGACCTTGTGATCCACCTGCCTCAGCCTCCTGAAGTGCCAGGATTACAGGCGTGAGCCACCACACCCAGCCCTCCGCAGTTTTTTAGCTGCAAAAAGAAACAGAGACACCGGCCTGGTGTAGTTAGTGTGAGCAGTATATGCGGTAGGGTCTGGCACACAGTAAGCACTCACTCCATTGCTTCACTTCACTGCAGTGACTGCTGTGGATAGTGCTATCACATGTCTCTCTCACCGGATGTTCTGGGCATTTCAGTTGAGACCCAGGCGTGCATGCAGGCTCACTGTTGATTCATCTCTAGTTTCCAAAGACCTAGCACAGGCCGGGCGTGGTGGCTCACGCCTGTACTCCCAGCACTTCGGGAGACCAAGGCAGGCAGATCACCTGAGGTTGGGAGTTTGAGACCAGTCTGATAAACATGGAGAAACCCCATCTCTACTAAAAATACAGAATTAGCTGGGCATGGTGGTGCATGCCTGTAATCCCAGCTACTCGAGAGGCTAAGGCAGGAGAATCACTTGAACCCGGGAGGTGGAGGTTACGGTGAGCTGAGATGGCGCCATTGCACTCCAGCCTGGGCAACCAGAGTTAAACTCCATCTAAAATAAAAATAAAAAAGACCTAGCACAGTCAGGTTGCAGGGGAACTGCTCAGAATGCTCAGAGAACACTGGAACCGTAAATGAATGAAAGCACATATGAAGGAAGGGTTTATCCAGAGAATCCCCTGAGAAGATGATGCATAAGAGTCTGTCCATGATTCAGCTCTCACAGCCTGGAGCCTCAAATTAGAGTTCCCCTAGTCCTAGCTTCCTGTGTGGCTGGCCTCAGCCAGACACAGACCATGTGTCCAGCTTTGGGCTTCTCAGCCTAGGGAGGGCAGGCAGGGTAGGGAGGGAGAGGCTGAGGGCAGGCATCCAAATGGACACGTAGTTGGGAAAGCTAAAAAGAACTTGGGTGGCCAAACTTAGAGACAAGAAGAGTGGCCCTTCCTTCCTTCTTTCTTTCCTGGAAGAAATTTTTATAACTAAGGCATAATTTACATACAATAAGATATGCAATATACCTTAAGTATACAGTTCAGTGAGTTTCTGGTTTTGTTTTGTTTTGAGATGGAGTCTCACTCTCTCGCCTGGGCTGGAGTGCAGTGGCACGATCTGGGCCCACTGCAACCTCCACCTCCAGGGTTCAAGCGATTCTCATGCCTCAGCCTCTCAAGTAGCTGGGGTTACAGGTGCCCACCACCACACCTGGCTAATTCTTGTATTTTTAGTAGAGACGGGGTTTCACCTTGTTGACCAGGCTGCACTGACCTCGGGTGATCCACCCACTTTGGCCACCCACAGTGCTGGGATTACAGGTGTGAGCTGCTGCGCCCGGCCCTGTTTTGTTTTTGGCTGGTTGGTTGGTTGGTATAAAAATACCGAATTTTGTTGATCCACCTGCCTGTTGATGGACATTTGGGCTGGTGTCAGTTTAGGGCTATTATGAATCCGGCTGCCTTGAGCATGGGTGATTGTCACCACCTGTTCTTTGGGGTTAAGAGGACATTGCTTCCTCTGTAACACTTGGGATTGATGTAAGCAGGGCCACCACACATGGTCACATACACTGCCCACAGAGGGATGTCTGGCTGAGGATCAGTGGGCCAGCACTAGCTGGGCACGTGGCCCTGGCCATGCCCGGGGGTTGCAGCCCACAGACGCCTGTTTCTGGTTCACGCAGAGGTGTCGTGTGGACTGTGGGGCTGGTAGGTGAGACCAGGAAGAATCAAGGCGTTGCAGTCCCACGGTGAGCCGGGCGTGGTGACTCACACCTGTAATTTCAGCACTCTGGGAGGTTGAGGCAGGAGAATCACTTGAGCCCAGGGCCCAGGAGTTCTAGACCAGCCTCGGCAATATAGTGGAACCATGTCTCTATTAAAAAAAAAAAAAAAAAATTTAACAGAATAAAAGTATCAGGCATGGTGGCATGCACCTATAGTCCCAGCTACTTGGGAGGCTAAGGTAGGAAGATCACTTGAGCCTGGGCGGTGGAGGCTGCAGTGAGCTGTGATCATACCACTGCACTCCAGCCTAGGTGACAGAACGAGACCCTGCCTTAAAAAAAAATCCTGCAGTGTTGCTGTAGTGTTCTCATGTGAGGAGCTCATCAATGGCATTGGAGCCCTGGCTGTCCGGGAAGCTCTTTCTGTGGCTCAGGGTAGACCGTTACTCCCCATGGCTCTTTGCCACTGGGACTCCCGGTCTCCGCTGGAGGCAGGACGAGCAGGGGGTAGGTAGGAGCATGGGATGTGGAGTCAGGCACATCTCAATTCTTGTCCCAACGACACTTGTCTCTCGCAGGGGCACCCTGGGCCAGAGGCTGCTCCATGCCGAGTATTTCCCCACCTGTCAAATGGCTCCTCGTAAGCCCCGAGGGTCATTGAATGGCTCAGTGGGACACTGTGAAGTCCCAGCACAGAGCCTGGCATTCAGGAAATGGCAGGGGGTGGCAATGAGGTGTATCAGTGGTCTCTTGGTCTGGTCACTAAAATAACTTTACTGGGTTGGGGAGCTCTCCCTGAACCAGAACGAAGCGTGGGTCCCACATGGTGATACCTCCGGGAAAGAAAGCGGCTGGGAACAGAAAGGCTGGGGCCCAGTATGACCCCAGCTTGTGTTTTCCAGACCTGTCTTCCTCGCTGGAAGTTTTGCGTGAGTGACACAGAAAACAACCTGGGCTTTGCGTTGGGCCCCATGTTCGTCAAAGCGACCTTTGCCGAGGACAGCAAGAGCATAGTAAGTGCCTCCCCCGTGGATACATGCCATGAGGTCACACGTGCTGTGGCCATGCGCAGACCTGCCAGTCACACTCCGGCCCACCTTGGGCCTTTTCTGCGCTGGGACAGAGGGTCCTGGGGCCGCAGCCTCAATGCAGAGGCCCCAATTCCCAGAGCCCTGGGTGATGGGAGTCTCACGCCGGCAGCTCTCAGTCCAGCCCCTTCATCTGCACAAGCTCCTGTGAGCCTCACAGCAGCCTGCCAGGCTGGGGCAGCCATCCCCACCTCCAAGGGTGTGAGGGACCCAGAGAGAATGTTGGCAGAGCAGTTTGGCCCAGAGGGTGACATTTTTCTTATCCTGTGGGTGATAGGTTTGTTCTAGACAGGCAGAGGAATACCATGGCAGGGTGCTGTGGAAATAGCCAGGCCTAAGCTCAGATCCCGGCTTCACCGCTGGCCGGGTGGCCTGGGACAGTTCTTACATCATCTGTAATGTAGAGGCGGGGCCTGTCCTCCCGCAGAGAGAGATTAAATGAGATGCCACACACTGGGCACTGGCATAAAATAAGGGTTCAGCCAATGGGAGTGGTCACTCTATTGTTACAATCTTGATGACAAATCGTATTCATTATGTCGATGTCATCTGCAGCCAGTGAGCCAACCCCAATTCAGATCCATTGCAGTGACCGGCCTGTGAGCAGCTGGGCAGGTCTGAGTTGGGGTCTGCTGGCCCCTCTGCTCTTGTTGCTGCACAGCTCTGCCTTCCCATTCTCTAGAGCCTTCACCCTTCTGTTTCCGAACTTGTCTGCTCTTGACATTGTCACCCTTGAGAGCACCCATCCATCTCCAGCCTGAGCATGCACTTCTGAAGCTGTGCCTCGGAACATGAGTACTCTAGATTTTAAAGCTCGTTCCATCAGAAAGGAATGGTGTGGTCCAATAAGTCTGGGAGAGGCTGTGTATTCTCCCCTCTCTGGAAGAATCGCAGTACCTGTTACCACATTAAAGGCTCTGAAAAGTCCCACGGCAGAGACTTTTCGAACTTTCCTGAAGCTCATCCGAAGCGGATTGGAGCGTGGACCCCTGTGTGTAGAAGGCCAGTCCTGCCTTGCAGGTTTTCATGTTAGGAGCATGGTTTGGAAACCACAGCTGTGGCTCTCCTTCTCACCCCAGCCTGATGCTTTGAAAATAGAGTTGAATCTCTGGCCCTGCATCATTCTTCTGCATGGGGTGCCCATTGCATTTAGAGACCAGTGCCCAGACCTCACTGCTGTGATGTGTGTCTCCTCAGGCCACTGAGATTATCCTGGAGATCAAGAAGGCATTTGAGGAAAGCCTGAGCACCCTGAAGTGGATGGATGAGGAAACCAGAAAATCAGCCAAGGAAAAGGTAAGGCTGGCCAGATACTGGGAGGGGGTGCTGCGGCATCCAGCACAGACGGAGGAGGGTCGGGGAAGGAGAGGCCAGTTCTATCCGGGAGCACGGCCTGGATGCTGTCTCACTTTCATGGGGTGAGTAGTCTAGGCCTAGCAGGATTCGGGGTCACCTCAAGCACACAATCACATGGACGTCTGTAGAAGACAAACCTCACTGAGTGCACGGGGGAAAGGTGCAGGGAGACGCAGCATGTCCCGTGGGGCAGGACGAATCCAGCACCATCCATGGGGTGGGAGTCAGGGAAGACTTCCCTTGGGAAAGTGACATTTAAACAGAGACCTAAAGGATAAGTAGAAGTTTGACAAAGGGAAAACCTTTCCAGAAAAAGACATGAAAGCCCAACGCAGGCAGGGCCTGGCCCTGGTCCCCCTTGGCCCAGACTATGAGCCCAGCAGCCAAGGAGCTGAGGCTGGCCTGGCCGGTGTTGCCAGGCACTCACTTCCTCTGTCTGTCCTGTGCAGGCAGATGCCATCTACAACATGATAGGTTACCCCAACTTCATCATGGACCCCAAGGAGCTGGACAAAGTGTTCAATGATGTGAGTACCTGCTGCCATGCCCCCTTGCATTCCCAAATGCCCCCTGTGGAGAGGGCTGGGCGGGGCTGGGTCCAGATGGGGTGCTAGAGGCAGCATGGTTGTCAAAACACAAGTGCCTATAGTCCCAGCCACTTGGGGGCTGAGATGGGAAGATCACTTGTGCTCCAGAAGTCAAGGCTGCAGCAAGCTGTGATTGCGCAACCACCCTCCAGCGTGGGCGACAGAGCAAGACCCTGTCTCAAAAAAAAAAGAGAGATGATGTGGTGTGAGGTTTGAGGATGGGTCAGGCATGAGGAAGCCTTTTCTGCTCCTTAATTCGACTCCTGGGTCAGCTGGAGGCCCTGCCTCCCCGTAGCCACCATCAATCCGGCAGCACCCACCAGTCAGTACAGAACACATGCTGTGCGCCCCTGGAGATGGTCAGCTCCATTCGATGTGTGGGAAATAATGGAGGAAACAGATCCCAGAAGGTGTGGAGAGAATTGGTGGCCCTCAGACATCAGGGGTGGAACATGAAGTGGAAAACCTTCACACCACCTCCTCCCTCTCTGGTCGTGCCTCCCAGAGTTACCTCCTGTCCCCGTGGTCCTCCCCCATCTCCCCAGAAACCCAGACCTCTGATTTTGCCTTTGAAATGCTAATGGGAAAGAAGCAGCATAAACCCATGTGCATTTTTAAGCTTGGTTTGGGCAGCAGGGGTAGTTGATAGATCCCTGCTCGTTAGAACTTTTGGCAAATCACTCCGTTAAGTGGATTGTGCTTCTGCCTCAAATGATAAAGTTTTATATTTTCTTCTGATTGAAATACTTGAATTCAGGCATTTAAAAAAAATTTTTTTTTTTTGAGACAGGGTCTCACTCTGTCACCCAGACTGGAGTGTAGTGGTGCTGTCTCAATTCACTGCAACCTCTGCCTTCCAGGTTCAAGCAAGTCTCCTCCCTCAGCCTCCAAGTAGCTGGGATTACAGGCGTATGCCACTACCACCTGGCTAATGTTTGTATTTTTAGTAGAGGCTGGGGCGGGGCGGGGGGGGGGCGTGGTTTCACCATGTTGGCCAGGCTGGTCTCGAACTCCTGACCTCAGATGATCCACCTGCCTTGGCCTCCCAAAGTGCTGGGATTACAGGCGTGAGCCACCGCACGCAGCTTGAATTCAGACATTTAAAAATCTAATAACGTCTCATCATGCTTATATTTAGAACCTAAGACTATACAAACTCTTTCTGAGATCATGAGACTCATTCTGCAGCCTTTTTCCTTGAGAGTCATTTCAGATGCTCCAGGGTGTCCTGACGCAACATCCTTGGGCCCCTGGAGGCATCCCAGATACAGCCCTGGATCCACTCCTGTCCCTGAGGCTCCAGCATTTTACCAGAGCCAGGGAGAATTTTGCACCTGTCAAGAGCTGAGCCAGGCGCAGTGGCTCATGCCTGTAATGCCAACACTTTGGGTGGCCGAGGTCGGGGGACTGCTTGAGCCCAGGAGTGTAAGACAAGCCCAGGCAACATAGTGAAACCTCATCTCTACAAAAAAAATTAAAAGTTAACTGGGCAGGGTGGCATGTGCCTATAGTCCGAGCTACTTAAAAGGCTGAGATGGGCATACTTGTGCTCAAGAAGTCAAGCCTGCAGCAAGCTGTGATTGCACCATTGCACTCCAGTGTGGTTAACAGAGCAAGACCCTGTCTCAAAAAAAAAAAAAAGAAAGAAAAAAAGCTGGAAGACTGGGCCAAGTAGCGAGAAGGGTATACAGTGATGCCCTTGACATTTCAGTTAGATTTCACTTTACTTACTAGATCTAGTATGGTAGCTACTAGCCACAGGTGGCTATTTAACTAATTAAAACTTAAATTAGTTTAAATTTAATTTAAAAGCCACACTCGCTACATTTGAAATGCTTAGTAGCAGCCAGGTGTGGTGGCTTACGCCTGTAATCCCAGCACTTTGGGAGGCCAAGGCGGGCGGATCACCTGAGGTCAGGAGTTCAAAACCAGCCTGGCCAACGTGGTGAAACCCCATCTCTACTAAAAATACAAAAATTAGCCAGGCGTGGTGGCAGATGCCTGTAATACCAGCTACTCAGGGAGGCTGAGGCACGAGAATCATTTAAGCCCAGGCGGCGGAGGTTGCAGTGAGCCGAGATCGCTCCATTGCACTCGGGCAACAGAGCAAGACTCCATCTCAAAAAAAGAAAAAAATGCTTAAGCGTCTGCTATACTGGACAGCACAGGCATAGAGCATAGAACCTCCATCCTCACAGGAGGTTCTATTGGATAACATGGGAAATATTTCATGCCTGGGCGCAGGCACCGCTGTGGGTTCATCGTGCAATGCTGTCATTCTATCTGGTGCCCCAGGGTGAAGGCCAAGAGAAGAGCTGACCCTGCAGCCCCAAACCCTGCATTCGGTCTCCAGCCTGCAGATTAACCTCTTAACCATGACAGCGCTTGGCATCCTGTCTTGGAAGATGCCTGTCACCGAGGGCACATTGTGATTGTGACTCCACTTCCTCTTTTCCAGTACACCGCAGTTCCAGACCTCTATTTTGAGAACGCCATGCGGTTTTTCAACTTCTCATGGAGGGTCACTGCCGACCAGCTCAGGAAAGCCCCCAACAGAGATCAGTGAGTTCCCCCAGGTCCTGCCAGAAAGGTGCCACCTCCCCACCTGTGGGCATACCCTGTGCCGAGCTGGCCTCCATTGCACCCTTACCGTGCACCCAATCAGCTATCATGAAAGCCATCTGAAGAGTGGAGGCCATTGTTATCCCACTTTTCAGACTATGAAACCAAGGGCAAAAGAAGTGTGGCCCCACTAGGTGCTGGGATGGGCTTGAGTCTGCCTAGCCTGTTGGCAGGGTGAGCCTGGCCTCTGGAGCTGAGCTGATCTGGCACCCTGTCCCTGCTCCAATGCTTTGAGATTTGGAGACTTCATGGCAAAACCCCATCTTCACTAAAAATACAAAAATTAGCTGGGCATGGTGGCATGCACCTGTAATCCCAGCTATTTAGGGAGGCTGAGGCACGAGAATCACTTAAACCCAGAAGGTGGAGGTTGCAGTGAGCCGAGATTGCGCCATTGCACTCCAGCCTTAGCGATAGAGCAAGACTCCGTCTGAAAAAAAAAAAAAAAAAAGAAAAAGAAATGCTTAGGCATTCATTATCCGAAGAATAGGATGGGAGGAGCTGGTTCTCGGGTCCTTATGGCAGTCAAATGTAAGGACCTCTGGGGATCGACAGACCCCAAGGAGGCCCCGGCAAGGGTGGCTTTCCCACATTTCCTCACTAGCACGAGTCGGGGGTCTCAGGACAGGGTGCCCACAAAGGCCTGGGGAAGGTTCTGGATGGGCCTCACAGCTATGCAAAGCTCACTGTGCATCAGAGTCCTCTGAGAAACGTTTTTAAAGATACAGCTTCCTCATCAGGCACGGTGGCTCACGCCTGTAATCTCAGCACTTTGGGAGGCCAAGGCAGGTGGATCACTTGAGTCCAGGAGTTTGAAACCAGCCATGGTCAACATGGTGAAACTCCTTCTCTACTAAAAATACAAAAATTAGCTGGGTGTGGTGGTGCACACCTGTAGTCCCAGCTGCTGAGGCTGAGGCACAAGAATCGCTTGAATCTGGGAGGCGGAGGTTGCAGTGAGCCAAGATCGTGGCACTGCACTCCAGCATGGGCGACAGAGCAAGATTCCATCTCAAAAAAAACAGCTTCCTGAACTTAAATCAGGATAACCTAGAATGAGACCTGGTGTGTGTCCTTTTTATTACTGCCTCCTCAGGCCAAGCACAATGGCTCATGCCCACACTCCCAGGACTTTGGGAGGCTGAGGTAGGCAGATCACTTGAGCCCAAGCCAGGCTGGGCAACATAGGGAGACCCGGTCTCTACAAAAAAAAAAAATTTTTTTTTTTTAAGACAGGGTTGCACCATGTTGGTCAGGCTGGTCTTGAACTCCCGACCTCAGGTGATCCACCCACCTTGACCTCCAAAGTGCTTGGATTACAGGTGTGAGCCACCATGCACGGCCAAAAAAATTTTTTTTTAATTAGCTGGGCCTCGTGGCATGAACCTGTAGTCCCAGCTACTACAGCTACTGGGGAGGCTGAGGTAGGAGGATCACTTGAGCCAGGAGGTCAAGGCTGCAGTGAGCCAAGATCATGCCACTGTACTCCTGCCTGGGCAACAGAGTGAGACCCTGCCTCAAAAAAAAAAAAACAAAAAACTTTGTCTCCTCAAAAAAATTAGATGTAGTCAGCCCAGTTCTAGTCTTCGGTCTAAGGTTGTTCCATTCCTTAGTGCAAACATTTGGGATGAATCTTAGGGAAGGGTGCAATCAACTTCTCTTTGCCTCTGGTGCCCCCTGGTGGAGTACAGGGGTTAAAAATCTATTTCCTTCATTTCCAGCCTCCAACCGGCACACACCCCCAATGCACAAGAAGGTGGGCTTTTACCTTCAGAACATGACATAGACCCGTTGCCAATTTATCTGAAGTATTTTTAACTTAGCTTGAATTTTTTAATTTAGATTTCCTCGCCTACCCATTGAAGTATGTGTGATTATTTGAATATAAATACGATGTTTTAAATTCTTCCATAGAGCTGGGTACAGCGGCTCACGCCTATAATTCAAACATTTTGAGAGGCTTAGACAGGAAGATCTCCTGATCCCAGGAGTTTGAGACCAGCATGGACAACATGGCAAAACCCTGTCTCTACAAAAAATTTAAAAAATCAGCCGGGCGTGGTAATGTGTGCTTAAGCCCAGGAGGTTGAGGCTGCAGTGAGCTACACATGCATCCCTGCACTCCAGCCTGGGCTCCAGAGCAAGATGCTGTCCCTAAAATAAACATATACATAAATAAAGTTGTTGGCAAGGCTCTGTGGCTTACACCTGTAATCCCAGTATTGAGAGGCTGAGGCAGGCAGATCACCTGAGGTCAGGAGTTCAAGACCAATCTGGCCAACATGGTGAAACCCCGTCTCTACTAAAAATATAAAAATTAGCCAGGCATGATGGTACACACCTGTAATCCCAGCTACTTGGGAGGCTGACACAGGAGAATCACTTGAACCCAGGAGGCAGAGGTTGCAGTGAACAGAGATCGCACCACTGTACTCCAGCCTGGGCAACAGAGTGAAACTTCATCTCAAAATAAATAAAGTTCTCAAAATCTTCCCATGGCTGTGGGGCTCACCTGGAGGAGGCAGAGTGTCTCTTAGTGGAAATGTCATCTCCATCTCACCGCACTCCCTACTCACCCTTTCCCTCTGCACCAGAGAAGTCATTGAAATCCCAAATAGTCCATGACTATTCACCATTACTTTCAAAACCTTTTCTGGTCTTAGGATCCTTCTACACTCTTAAAAAAATTATTGGACCCACAAAATGTCATGGGTTATATTGATTTTTTTTTTTTTTTTGACAGAGTCTTGCTCCGTCGCCCATGGTGGAGTGCAGTGGCTCAATCTCGACTCACTGCAACCTCTGCCTCCCAGGTTCCAGTGATTCTCCTGCCTCAACCTCCTGAGTAGCTGGGATTACAGGTCCCCACCACCATGCCCAGCTAATTTTTGTATTTTTAATAGGGACAGGGTTTCATCATGTTGGCTAGGCTGGTCTGAAACTCCTGACCTCAGGTGAGCCACCACACCGGGCCCTGATTTTTATTAAAATTTTTGGACAATAACTATTTTCAAAAAACTAATGAAAAGAGGTATCATTTTACTTTTTGCAAATGTTTTGTATGTCTGACTTAAAGACAGCTGGATTCTCATATCTGATTCTGCAGTCAATCTGTTACCATATGTTGTTTTGATATATAGAAAGAATTCTTGCCTCACACAGGAATTTCATTGGGAAAGTGAGGGATATTTTAATAGTCTTTTCAGGTACTTGTGCATGTTATTCAGCTACTATACCAAAACTCAAAAAATGGTAATTTTTTAAAGGTTAATTGTAATATGGAACCTGAAACCACATCCAGGAACTTTTTTTTTCTTTTTTTGAGACAGTCTCACTTTATCACCCAGGTGACCTCAGCTCACTGCAGCCTCAGCCTTCCCAGGCTCAGGTGATTCTTCCACCTCAGCCTCCCAAAGTGCTGGGATTACAGGTATGAGCCACCATGGCCAGCCTTCATGAACTTTTCATGCTCCATTATACTAAAATCCATTGGTCTCTCTTGCACTTTGAATGGATCTTTTACCCAGGTGTGATTTTGTGACATCATGCATTAGTCATTTGGAAAACAATGGTTCACTGAGTTTTACAGATCTTCCAAATGGTGATACTTTCATTATGCAATATCAGAAAAAATTCACATTTGTTAATATCACTGCTGACCTCATGAGAAAAGCCTTTAATTGTTATTGGTAAGCTGTCAAATTTATGGTAACCAATATAAGTTACAGGCGTGAGCCACTGCCGCCGGTCATAATTATTAATTTCATCACATCTCGATCCCCAAATACAAGTTTTTCAGAACTTTAATTTTTGCCTGAAAAATCCAACATTTAAAAAAATCTCATATTTTTATCATTGGCAACAGACGGCATGATTGTTTTCCTTGAGGTGATAAGCTCACTTTATTTATTTTAAAGAAAACATCTGCCAGATATCCAAGTCTGAAATTCTATAGTTTGCCAGTCAGCCTAAAAGTACCATCAGGGTTTCATGAAAAAAGCAGAATGCTTTATATGTGGATTTCCCACTGGTCACAGGGAATATTAAAAAGTCTTCTACCAGGTGCAGTGGCTCATACCTGCAATCCCAGCAGTTCAGGAAGCTGAGGTGGGAGGATCACTCAATGAGCCCAGGAGTTCAAAACCAGCCTGGGAAACACAGCAAGACTCCACCTCTATAACATTATTTTTGAAAAAACAGGCCAGGCGCGGTGGCTCACGCCTGTAATCACAGCACTTTGGGAGGCTGAGGCGGGCGCAGATCATGAGGTCAGGAGTTTGAGACCAGCCTGGCCAATATGGTGAAACACCATCTCTACTAAAAATACAAAAAATTAGCTGGGCGTGGTGGCGCATGCCTGTAATCCCTGCTACTCTGGTGGCTGACACAGAAGAATCGCTTGAACCCAGGAGGCGGAGGTTGCAGTGAGCCGAGATCACACCACTGCACTCCAGCCTGGGCAACAGAGCGAGACTCTGTCTCAAAAAAAAAAAAAAAAAAAATATCAGCCAGGAATGGTCACAAGTGCCTGTAGTCCCAGCTACTTGAGAGCCTAAGGTGGGAGAATAGCTTGAGCCCAGGAGTTTGAGGCTGTAGTTGATCATGCCACTGCACTCGAGCCTGGGTGAAAGAACGAGACC